CACACACACACACACACACACACACACACACACACACACACACACACACACACACACACACACACAAGAGGGCAACAGAGGACAACAGAAAAACATGAGAACTAACATAAATCTAGAAATTACAACAAAATAGGAATTAAACCAATAAAACTAGAAAACAAGGAGCAAAGTAAAGCACAACATAACCAAAACCATGACATGATATAGTATTACTTTTTGAGTTTTCCCGCCATTTAAGGAATTCCTTGTATTAATCTGACATCTATAAAATAATAGATAATTGTTTTTTTTCTTACTATTTCAATAAAGAAAACAATCAAACAAAAATGTTTACATTCATCCATTGACTACAGACAAGTAATGTCCAGATGATAGCAGTGAATATCTGTTAAACAATCTTTTACGTATCTAATTATGAAAAAATTTAATCAGATGCTTTTAGATGCTGTTTTTTAAATGACGGATTATAATTGTTACAATAGCCAGTTATGAAACAAAAAGTGTCTTTCTTTAAAAAACAGATATTAAGGCATGACAGCATACGATCAGCAAATCATTAAATGTGTACATTTGACATATTTCAGTCTATGAATTTTCAATATGATTATTTTTTAATTATTATTGATACTTTTGAATGCTGATAAAGAATTGTAATTTAATATTAGAAACTTTTATTAATTAGAAATAACAGACATACCTTGGGAAATGTTTTAGTAATGAGAGAATACAACATTACCTTTTGTAATATATTTTCTCCTCTTACAGTCTCTTACTGTATCAGCTTTTTAGGTTTTAGGATATACAACTTTTTAATTAAAAATATTTTTTAATAATAATTTCTATGCGTTGTAAGTGTTTTGTATTCCTCATTCGGATTTCACACGATAACATTTAGTTGATGAGTCTCCAATTAATAATTTATTTAATTGGGGTCTATGTGTCCTTAAGATGTTGGTAAAAAGGATATATTAAATAACTCTGGTGTTACTGCAATTTAAACTGGATTTACATGTTCAACTATTATTTCATGTGTAGACCTCAACAAAGGTTTCCTTTCTTTCAGTGCGGATACGGACATGAGTGGTCTACGTTTGACCCACAAGCAAAAGAAGACCAAGGACCCAGAGGGCCCCAAAATGTCCCGCCCTCACACTGCTGAAGCAGCCCTGCAAAAACATTACTTGCACCATCTGCTCCAACCCTACAGAGGGAGCTCACACCTAGACTGACACCAGACTGGCTTGCCTTTTAGGCAATGGGCCTCCATCCATTTCTGTCACACTTTATCCTGTGGCCGTGAGGGGTGCTGGTGCCTATCTCCAGTTGTCAATGGGCAGGAAGCGGGACCCAGAACCTGTTTGCTGCAAGGCAGCAGTTTTACCCACTTTTCCACTGAGAGGCCACAAAAGGCCTCCTCGTTTCTCTTTTACTTTGTCCATTCAACTCTGGGTAATTTATATTTACTATCATGCACATGAGAGTACAGCAGAAAATGAAAACACAGACAAGAGTTGATGAGAAAAAAAGACCTTTAAAAAATTTGACACCCTTGTATTTAAGCCTAAACTAATATCTGAATATTACTAATGAAAATGTTGAGTATTTTACAATTACTTACTTCCATACAGTCTCCTGTATCTCTTTCAAATCAGCCTTGAGGCAATTCTGGACATAAAATATCTATATTTTAGTGTAGCTTACCACATTAAACTTACTGAAATCACATCAGCAGCTTAAAGAACACAATGTCCCAGAAGACCTATGGAAAGTGAACATTAAGAGATGCAGAGAGACCCAAGAGAAGTTTATGAAAATATCCAAACTGGAACGCATCCATGCATTTCAGCCATCAGAAATTAATAATTTAGAACATGTTACATGTTTTGAGCAAGCTGGGAGTGTTTGTGTTTTAAGAAACTTATATTTTTTGTTACGGTAGTTTGTTGAACTTGCAGGATACCAATTTTAAGTTAAAAGGTTTGTCAAAAGTTTGTACTTTCAGCATGTTTAAGAAAAGGTTTTGATAATAAGTTTAATTGTTTATTTTTTGTTAAAGTTTGTCTATAAAACAAGCATAGAAAGGAGATTTTCTCCAGCGTCATCTGATTGTGGCTATAACTGATGTAAGCCTCTAGAGGGCAAAAGTAGTACACTTTTAAAGCAACACGTTTATTCCCTTTTCTTACAGGAAATCCATGACGCCATAAAACTTCAGACCTTTTAGCTATCTGTTCACCCCATCATTTCCATGAGAGTGCGATATATCACAATGTTTTTTAGCTTGTCTTTAAAGCATACACTAATTAAAATTTAAAGCAGAAAGGAATATAAAGCTGATTCATGATATGAAACGCGGTGGAACAAATCACCTCCAATTGAAGTTCAAATATTGTTATTGTGACTTACTGCTAACTGTTTTCCTAAAGTAATTGGAAATTACCTCTCTGATGAACTGTGAAGGACAATCTGAGAAACAACACATGAACCCACTGAAAACCACTCGGGTGGATGAGGACAAGACGCCTAATAGCTCTGCAATACTCGAGGGCATATGATGTTGAGACAAGTTTGTTTGGAAGCTGTCACAAACATCATTACATTTAGCTTCATTTCAGGGGAACTGCTTTAACCGCAAAGTTGATGTTTCTATTCTCGCCTAGATTACCTGAAATGAACATTTGCACACCTAAGCAGTCGGTATATTTCAGCCTTTCATGCACAGGCTTTTGTGTTGGATTAAGAGATAACAGTATGCTTATAGGATGTATTAACTGGGAAAACTTGCCCAATAGGTAAAGAGATGGCAGACAGTTGTTATGTAAGGTGTTTTTGCATGTCTTATCTTCCAGGAAGAATTTCCATAACTGTACCACCTCCCATGACTCGGTCATGCAGTTTTTTTTTATCTGAAAGATTACCAAACTCTGTCAGGTGTTTTTAAAACTTTCTATCATTATTTTGGGATCACATGTTAAGACACAAATAGAGAAGAATGGAGTTAAATGGAACAAAACCAATAATTGTGGATGATTGGGATAATTTCCACCTGTACAGTTCAAGGACTCTTCCCAATTCTCTCAAAAATATTATTCACATATCTGGAGCCAGAGATGCTTTCCGGCAATCTCCAACTATCAGTGATAATGAGGGCTGTTATCTGGCTGTGGTTTGGGAGGGATGGATGAAAAATATGACTCTGTAAAAGAAAAATCCATCGTTCCTCTAATACTGAGTTTTAAGGTTCCTGTAAAAACGGTACTTTATCAGGGTGAAAATAATCCTAACACAGTGAAGTGGAGGTTTCAGTGAAGGTATGACATTTCATTTTGTATTTAAAGTATGACAGATAATAGTAAAAAAAAAAAAAGAAAGTTATCTTAACAGCATGCCACTGTTACTCAGCTCACGCCACACCCAAGCTTGGGGTTCCTGCAGTTGGTGGATGAAGCCTCCTGATGCTTTTTTATGCTGAGCTCCAGAAGCTAAGGTTCAATCTCTGGGGGATTGCTAGTGAGCTCCCCCAAGGCCTGACTCAGTTAAGCTGCATTGGTCACTTCCTATTAACAACTAATTTAAAATCAGTGAGGTTGTGCAATTTTTTTTTTTGTTTGACACTCCCCTAGGGCCAATTGCCATGGAAATCCCTACCAGGAGCCAAAACCAAGGACAACATACCCTACAGATTCCTTAGTGTGCTCAAACCCCCTATCTCAAGTGATGGTGGGGCAAAGGGCATGGTTCTTTAATACTCTACTTGTCTTAAGATGTGTTTTATTTGTTTTAAGTTATGTTTTTATCTTTACTTGCATTTAATCTGCTTTTATTTTACTTATATGTTATTGTTTATTTAATTAACACTAAATTGTTTTTGTACTGAATTGTGAAATATAAATAAACTTGCCTTGCCTTGCCTTACTAGAGGAGCAAATTGGTCTATTCTATGAAGGACAAGGCTGGAGATTAAAAGCTGAATTGGGGTTTTGTCTGAAGAGATGCTGGTGCTATTGCATTCCACCTTAGTAGCAAATTGGTCGAAGTGAAAAGCAAAGCTTTTGATTAATAATATAATTCCTCAATTACAGTTTCTAAAAAGCATTATAGACACATTTTGGAGGTTCCATCATCTGAGCACAGCTCAGGACTGAAAGAAGGAAGTCATTTAATGTGATTTGGACATCTGATTTGGATCACTACTGGGTGCCATCTTTAAGACGTTTCCTGATTACCCTCCACTGGGTAGAGACCCCCAGGAAAATCAATAATTCGCTGGATGGACTAATATCCGTTTTAGCCTGTTTTAACCCTAAATGAGCTGGAGTCTGCAGTGTCACTACGAAGAGGGATCTCTCGGTTTCTCCGAGCCCCATTCCCCACACTAATGGACCTGGATGGATGGACAGACAGATGGATGGATGATATTCAAAGGAAAACATGTTAATGTTAAATATTTTATCTTTCATTTTCAACAGGAGACAGAATAAAATGTACTATAAACACTTCCAAAATAATTACCAGACAGGATTAAGTGGAATCCATTATGCTCATGTTCAGGTAAGTTCTAAATGCATTCCTCAAAACACTTTCCATGCTTCACATTCCTGTAACTGCAGCCAAGTGTGGATGTGAACAATTAAGAAAGCCTGTCTAAATAGATTCTGATTGTTTTGTCTTAAATTATAATGTTTTTTTTCCTTCACTCAGGCGATACAACTGGAAATGCTTTTGATATGAGTTCAGACAGGCCAGGGAAGAGGTGTTTGTACAATACGGCAATAGTCTGTCAGAAGAAACATTCCGTTCCCTTAGAAGAATTTAGGCTTCTACCTCATTTTCTGTTGACACTCTTCTCAATCAAGTGGAGGCATGGACATCTTTGAAGCAAATGAAAGGTATAAACGTGGTGTAATTTACTGCCATACAGTCACTCTTCTTACTGTCTGCTCAAATATTCTGTATGCATTCCAAACCAATGTTTTTACTGCTTTTACTACACAATTTCTTAGGTATAATTACTGCGGTAATATTCAAATTCCATTGCCAAGTCAGGGCATAGTTGTATTTACTTTTCAATGAAAAGCTTTTGAGGTATTATGTATTAGAATTTATATATAAAAAAAGGTTACGAAGAAAAACTGAAACAAACAAAAAAAAAAAGCAATGTCTAAATAGAATTTTAATTATTCTGGAAAATATGTCATTCTGTCACAGATTTTCTTTCAGCTTATTCATCTTAGGGTGAGCAGCGACAGGAAGAAGAGATTATCTTCTTGCAAAATCGTTTGGAGTGGGATAGAAATCTGAACCCGACCTACATCAATTTTATGACTTATGTTTGGACACCCACATGAGCCCATTGATGTGATTTCATGTCGAAATGAAATGCCACAGTGATTTTATTTTTTAAATTTAATCATTTTAAACTGCAAAAAAATTATTTACTTGAGTTGTTTTTTTTTTGGATCAACTAAAAGAAAGCAATAGATAATGAATGTGTGAAATGGAAGGAAACATTTGAAACATGAGTTCACTCCCGCTGAGTCAGTACTTTGCAGAACTTCCTTTGGGTGCAAGCATTTGGGGATACGGATAAACCAACCATGCAGACTGAAGAAATTCCTCCCCTCTTTTACTGGATGTGTCATGCTCTTTCCCTTCTCTTTAGATAAACAATTTCCCATGCTTTGAAGCGTAACCCTACTTTAAACATCTTTATACCAGGATTGTCTGCTGTGTTTGTTAGTTATCATGATCCACTTTGTTCACTACTGTTCTCCAACAGGCCTCTGAAAGCTTCCCTTACCCGCTTAATACTGAGATGAAATTAAACGAAACAGAAGTGGTGCCTACTGACTGGTCAGAGGACTTTGAAAGTCAAAAATTTTATTTAGCAATACCTTTGCGAGGTGTGCTTTATAAATATGTGCTTAACACATTTCAGATTTTGTATAAAGATGTCAAACATCCCAATAAAAAAGGTTAAAGTTTGTGGATATTAAGATGAGGGCTAATGGAAGTCTCATCGGCTCAATAGTCAAAAAGAAGGTGCCAAAGGGAGGAAAAGGTGCATGGGTTATATACAGTATTTACAGTGCGTCCACATATGTTTATATAACAGGTGAAGTCTCTTATTTAACAGGATTATTACACAGGGTTATTGCACAGGGTATTAAATATTGATTGCACATTAGTTATTGCACAAGTTATTGCAGCTATAGGGCCGCATTGTAAAGTCTGATGGCAGCAGGAATAAATGACCTACGGTATACACACAATTGTGCTTTGCTGTCTTTATTAGAACTTTGCATTGATTTCATTCATTTCTATAGGCTAACCCAGACCCTTACCCAACACAAGTACAAACCTCATCAGAACAAACCTCAATTAACCTAAAATCATTTCACACCTGTAGTCCTGAACCGGACCTCTAACTGATGAGGTTTGTTCCACACACACCAATGTTTGAAAAATTTACAGAAGGAGGAGTTATGCGTTTTAGGGTTATTCTGGATTTATGGTCTGCTACCTTCCTTTTTGTCGGCCTAAAGCGAGTTCAGTATCTATTTGCCACCTCATGGCTCATGGGAATAATGTCAGCTGCCACAACCTCAGATAAAATGAAACTTAGTCAAGGCAGGGGAATTTGAAAAGTGATCCCAGTGGAATGCAAACATATTCCAGTGCAATCTGCTATCTCTTCACAGCCAGGATTCAGGATAATTGTTTTCATATTTTCGAATGAGATTAGGCCATAACAGTGACCTAGCTCAAGTCAATTGCTGAACAAGCTTTTCATCATTTAGTTTACCAAAACTCTTTCAGCACCTAAGCAGCCGAGTGTTTGCTGTTGCCATGGAAGAAGACAACCACTCCTGGGTGTTTATTTGTTTGTTTTGATGTTTTGTTCTTTTTCCAATGGAAAGATCTTGTTTGGTTAGTCATGTGAAAGGAATTTTGAGATAAGGGTACAGGTAATGGGGAAGCAGTTTAAAAATAATTACTTCATTTTTCATAGGGTTTTGATTTGAAGCTTCCCACCGGAAGTTCTGTGGAATTTTTTGTTTTGTTTTTTTTGTTTCTTTGTTTTTGGTTTCCATCATGCCAGATTTGACAATACCTGACAATGAAAGTTAAAATTTCATGATTAAGCTCATCTCCTCCACCTGAGCTAAGTATCTGATTTAAAACTCAACTACCTTTTTATCTTTAATTGGTAAAGGTTGTAACAATTGTTTAAAGGTGAACCCGTTTCAAGGCTTTTTAATGAGAAACCAGAGGGAGAGTTCCCTCTGTCCGTAAGCATTGACGGTACATTTCCTTTCTCCACCTTTTGCTGTTCATCAACAGTCAGCAGGATGAAAAAGGGTTACTACAATTTTGTATACATTTTATATGTTAATAGTTTTATCTGCAGGAAGTGAACAGTTCCATATCAGACTCCAGGATTGCAACCCGATCAGCAGGCTTGATGAATAATCCGCCAATATCAACTCATTAAACCTGTGTTAGTCTGTAAAGAGTAAACATACTTAAACTTGGGAATCAATTGAAAGCAGTAATGCAGTGATTATTCTGATCGGCTTATGTTTATGCTTCGTTATATCGTAACCACAGTTAGATTTTTCACTTTTTTGTTTGTAAACATGATATAACAGGTTATTATATAGTAAGAACCCTATTAGGCCCTTACAGGCAGTAAATGACATTAAGTTTATGTTTTGCTATGTTTTCTCACAGATGGGATGGGACTTTTTTCCTTACATGGTTGTAACCTAATTCTACTTCAGTAACACTAAAAAGAAAGGAAAGAATCTTTCCATGATCTCGGCACTGATGACTGGGTTAATTGCTGATTTTATTCACCTATTCAATTCTGCATTATCTGTCATATGATGCACCTGCTCTTGTCTCTATCTAAGCTGCTTGCATCCAGTCATCATGGCCAGATTATTCCTGTTCTCTTTAGCCAGTGGTGAGAGTATTTTTAGAGTTCCTTGTTTTTTTCTGATTTCCTGATCCTGACCTCTTCTGCCTCTCAACCACTGAGCCTGCCTGTGCCCATCTGAATGGATTGCCTGAACTGTCTCTTGGACTCCTGGATCTCTGAGCCTGTCTGTTCTTGTTCTGATCTGTTTGTCTGACCTGACTTCCAAGCCCTGGACCTCTGAGCCGTCCCGTTCTGATCTGTTTGCCTGACCTGGCTTCCGACTTCTGGACCTCTGAGCCGTCCCGTTCTGATCTGTTTGCCTGACCTGGCTTCCGACTCCTGGACCTCTGAGCCGTCCCGTTTTGATATGTTTGCCTGACCTGGCTTCCGACTCCTAGACCGCTGAGCCGTCCGGTTCTGATCTGTTTGCCTGACCTGGCTTCCGACTCCTGGACCTCTGAGCCGTCCCGTTCTGATATGTTTGCCTGACTTGGCATCGGACTCCGCCTTGTTCTCCGTTCACTGGGGCTGCAGTGTCTGGGACACCCGCATCTTGTTGGCAAGCAACAGGCTGGATCCTACCTTGTTCTCAGGACACGGGCCGAACTGTTAAACCACCTTAGTGACTCATTTGTTTATATTATCCTCCATTAGATTCATGTGGTCACTAACCTGTTTCCTTTTACACAGTTTCCTGCGATAGAAGCCCTATCCGCTGCTATCATCCATGTCTTAAATAAACTTTTTAATTACTTATTTTTCTGTCTGCCTCGAATACTGGGCCCTCTATTCTGAGTCATGACATATCTAATAATTTAGGATACTATAAAGTTAAGTTTATTTAATTCAGTTCTAATACTTTATATAATTTTTTAAACCAGTTTTAATCTTACAATTTTAATTGTACAAAGAAAC